TGCTCCAAGCCCCATCCAACCTGCCCTTCAACACTGCCAGGGATGGGGCAGCCACAGCTTCCCTGGGCAACCTGGGCCAGGGTCTCCCCACCCTCAGCTTTTCTGGATTGGATGAGTTTTTTAAACCTAAATCTCTAAAACTTCTAGATGGTTCATGTAAAACTTTTTCATTTACTCACAGGACCAGGCTTTTTAATGTTTATTTGTAAGATTTTCATGTTTAAATTAATGTTTTAATTCTATGATGCCATCTTTTCTCCACAAATATGAACACCAAAAATATTGGTCACATTTTTTAAAGGAGCTTGTTACTTCTGAGAAAACTTGTCTTTTGGAAAACAAAAATTATATTCACTCCTGAGGTTAAATACTAAGATATTTCATCTGTTTCACAAAGGGCTGACTCGTACAAAGAATGAACTTGGTCGTAATGAGGACTTTGTGAAGCTGTATCAGCAGCTCAGAGACATGTTTTCAGACACACCTCTGGCTTCAGAGAGTGGAAATGTTTACAACAGTAAACCAGGTTGGTATTTCTCTTCTGGGGACAGAATACTTGCTTTCTGTTCAGATGAAACAGCAGATACCTCAACCCAGTTTGTAGCTGCAGAAAGGTTATCCTTGTGATAGACTCAGCTGGTGTTCTTCATTCCAGGTAGTTTTCCCCAGGCTGTTATCTGTCTCTCATTGGTTTTACCTACTTTCAAACAGGTTTGAAGTTTTAAATTTGATTATAAATGAAAGGTTAAAACGTTACTGATTCACCCCTTTACACTGACTGTAGCACAAGTAGCAAAGTCTCAAAACCTGGGTTTAACAATTGTGCTTCCATAAGTAGTTGACTGAGTTGTTGGTTTCAGTGAATGCAATTAGAACTAGTGTCAGGAATTTTTATGTCTGACTTAGAGAACTATAGGTGTGAAGAACTGAAGTTCACTAAACCTTCATACTTTTGCACATTTGCTTACATCTTTAATGGCTTTCTTTTGTTTTCAGTTTTTGAAAATAAAAAGGAATTTATCTACAGCCATCCAAAATTAAGGAAATTGGAGGAAATTGTAATAGAACACTTCAGATCCTGGAAGAAGAAAAGTTCTGGTAAGTACTAACAACTCAAAATGTATCTGAACAGTTGAACCTGTGGATGGAAATAAGTAATATCTTCTTTATTTCCTAATTTGTTCAAGTGCTTCTTTATTGTCTTGTATGTTTGTGCATCTTCTGTGTGAAAAAGTTCTCTTTAGAAGAATTATACCAAAAAAGTTGCTTAAGGAAAAATATCCTATAAGCTATCACGATCAATTTGTTATAATTGCTTAGAAAATATTAGATTATAATTCAGCTTAGGAAAACTGATAGTAAACTCATTCCTAGTGCTACTGTGCCTCGTGATTTTGATAGCCACAGAATTTGTTCTGAAACCATCTCAGTGCTGTGCTACCATCACCTCCTGCAAAGTTAGATGCAACGTAGTTTTGGAGCTTAAGGGTAGAAGTTATCCAGTCTGCTGCTAAGAATTATATTCTCTGAGCCATGATTTGATGTTTAAAACCTTCAGTTACATTCATTTTTCTCTCATTGTTTTTCATCTTGACTGAAAGGGAGGAAAAAAATGTCATCTGGTAGCATATGCAAAATATTCTGAATCACTCAGACATCTCTGGTTTTAGGAGGTTTGAACTTCTTGATCCAGTTGTTGCTCTTGAAATGCTGACATTAGTAACAATAATTTTTTTAAATTTTGTTTTTCAACTTCTTCACTTTTTTATCTGTTCATTTGTATCTTTGTGCTCTGTGAAGTTCTGATCATTTCTGACCTGCCCTTCTGGAGTTGTTTGAGCAGGTGCATCTCAGAGCATTTTCTTGGAGGCTGGTCTAAATAGGCTAAGAAGCTCTTGATTGTCACTTTTCTTTACTGGTTTGTTTTCATTTACATGCTTAGATTTATTTATTTTTCTTAGTTAAATTTCTTTTAAAGAACATTTCTTTGAGAAAATCTAAATGCAGTGCACATGCACAAACCCTTCCCATTAAGTGAGGTGAGAGCTTTGAACGTGTAGCTTGTGGAATGACCTGTACTTACCTCTTTATTGGTAACTATTTATAAATTATGCCTAAAAATGCTTTTCTGGCTTTTTCAGATGAAACAGGTGAAGTCAGGACTGACAGCACAGCTGTGGGCACTGCAGATACCAGAGTGATGATCTTCTCATCCTTTCGAGACAGTGTGCAAGAAATTGCTGAAATGCTTTCCCGACTCAGGCCCGTGGTCAGAGTCATGACATTTGTTGGCCACTCCACAGGGAAAAGTACAAAAGGCTTCACACAAAAGGAGCAACTTGAGGTAAAGAATGGATGAGACTTGTATTAGGACATTTTGATAAGGAGTATTAATTGTGTCATTACCTTCATGAAGTTTGCTACAGATTGTGTGGTGGTGATTGAGTGTCACTATTAATTTCCTGTTTAGTTCAGTTGGCGTCAGAGTGTCCAAAATTGTACTCATTGAACAGAATGTCTAAGTAGAAATATGTTATATTAACAAACACTATTTTTAAATATATTTAGCAGTTTGGCGAAATACTCAAATACTTCCTCAGGGGACTTATTTTTTTCTTTGTAGGTAGAAAAAATAAAATCTATCCTTAAATTTCGATCTAGCAAAGTTAAAGCAAAAGAAAAAATGAAATTGAATTGCAAAGTTGGGAAAATCAGTTTTAGAGGAATGGTGGGTTGGGGTCAGAATAAGGTGTGTTTTTTCCCTTTGTTTTAGAGTTGAAGGGTTGATAGGTTCATGTTGATAACACTAGTGTGTGGTATTTGCTCACGAGGCAGTAGCTGAGCAATTCCAAAAGCCTGTGCTTTTTGGCTTTTAAATAAGTGTTTTCCATTTTCTTGCTGATCCTAGAGGGGCTGCAAAGTGTGTCTGGGGGGCTTCCTGACTAACCTCTTCAATCTAATCTATTATAATCGTTGTTTCAGGTGGTAAGACGCTTCCGTGCAGGTGGGTATAACACTCTGGTCTCTACCTGTGTTGGGGAAGAAGGTCTAGACATTGGAGAAGTTGATCTCATCATCTGCTTTGACGCCCAGAAGAGCCCGGTGCGCCTGGTGCAGCGGATGGGCCGGACGGGTCGCAGGCGGCAGGGCAGGATCGTGGTCATCCTTGCTGAAGGGCGGGAGGAGCGGGTGAGTGGGGAGCTCTCTTCTCGCTGGGGGAACAAAGTGACTTGTTCAGTCTGGCCCAAAAAGCTGTCTACTCTCTGTTAAAGATCACAGCAATCCTGAGCAGCGATTCCAGGAATGTGTGATATCCCACACGGGAGATTTAGGTTAGATATTAGGAAGAAATTCTTGGCTGCGAGGGTGGTGAGAGCCTGGCCCAGGTTCCCCAGGGAAGCTGTGGCTGCCCCATCCCTGGCAGTGTTGAAGGGCAGGTTGGATGGGGCTTGGAGCAACCTGGGCTGGTGGGAGGTGTCCCTGCCCATGGCAGGGGGTTTGGGACTGGATGATGTTGCAGGTCTCTTCCAACCCAAACCATTGTATGATTTGATGGTTTTAAAAATATGTGCACTTTCTCAGTGTAAAGGGCTTCAAGGCTTCATTCCTAATAGCACTTATTTTGTAAATGATAAGTTGGAACTCAGAAAATACAGGCTTTTCCCCAGGGGTACAGGACAATGTGGGGAAGAGAGAAGGCTGAACCTCTGAGTGGGAAGTGTCTCTGAGCTGCTGACGACACTGCGCATTCAGTCAAGGACTTAGTGGCAGCAGACTTGCGTGTGAGGCCTGAAGAGATCAGCTTAAGTGGAAATCTACTTTTGCTAAATTCCTGAACCTCAGCACTCAAGTCGGAGTATAATTAATCATCTCTGAGTGCAGACTGTCCCTTGGGAAACTAATGTACCCTTGGAAATCTAAGCCATGAGTTGAGTGCCAGGAGAACCGGTCTTCAGCTGTGCACACGCTGCTCAGCTTCATCCCTCAGCTGCACGGCTGCTGGGCCTGAGCCAAGGAAGCTGGAGGGGCAGGGTGTGGGTAGGGCAGTCCCTGTTGGCATCACTCCTTGGAGAGATTGGCTGCAGAGAAATAGAAACTGCATCTTTACAGTTTCATTGTGAAAGTCCTGTTGGAATGCAAGGGGTGCAGGTCACTGTCTGGCTAAAAATGGATTTTGTTCTTCGCTAGTTTTGTTTATTTGCAAGGTTGGTTCTGAATTGGATCAGGTTTCATGACAGAGAAGTCTGGGATCTGTGTAAGCTAACTGTAAACCCAGAACTTCAGAGTCTTGCTATTAATTAATTTATTCCAGTCCATTTTGTGCCTCTGGTTTGAATTTGTAGGTAGCAGGGAGTTAGTTCTAAAGGAGGGTCCAAAGAATCCTGCCTGGGGAAGAAGGCAGTTTTGAAGGGTTGAGAGTTAAGTGATCAAAGGGAATGGCATTTGTAAATGGGTGTTTTCTCATGCTGCTTATGAAGACTGATTACTGCCAAAAGCTAGTTTGTAATGGGATATGAAAATGGTCACTGAAATTCCTCAGAATTTCACTTAAGTAGTTGGATTACTGGGTTCTCCAGGTTTTCTCAGAAATATTTGTTGCAGAACTTGCCCCAGGTAAGATAGTGATTTTATAGGATATGTTTGTTTTGAGATCATTAAATAAATGTAATTGCTTAACAATGTTGGCTTTGTTTGGTTTTTCTTGAGGTTTGATTTTTTTGTTTGGTGTTTTTCGTTGTTTTGTTTTTTTAATTGAATCTCCTTCCGGATCTCTCTAGCTGGAGATCTTTCCCCCTCACGTAACTTGCAGCTCAGTAATTAATGATCTCATGCTAACTTGTGGGAATTTGGTTATTTGTTTTAAAATCAGACCTACTTCAAACATAATTTTGTTGGGAAAAATGGGACACCACAGGTCTTGGATTTTGAGATTGGAGGGGAATTTCTATAGCATCAGTGTTTATTGCTCTCCTCCCCACTCATTCCTGTGGGATCAGCCATCCCAAGTGGGAGCACAGGCTGTCCCAGGGCAGGCACACCAATCCCTGCTCCTGCCCTGGGATCCCAGGCCTTTGGCTCCTGGATCTTCTTCCCTTCAGGAGTGGCCACACTCCCAGAACCACGGTGTTCTGATCTGGGTTCATGATCATCCTGTGCCAGCTCAGCTCCCTGTGCGTCAGTCTGGAAGGGAGCTGGGAGCTGCAGATGGAAGCCAGGGCAAAAAGAAAGGCTCAGGAGAGCTCAAGGCCTTTCCTGCTGCTGCCAGGCCAAGCAGACACTCCGTGAAACAAAGGAAAGGGAAACATGCCCCCTCAGTAACACCAAAGTGATAGTTCTGTTGAGTAACCAATTTGGTAATAGACATTTTTTTTCATTAAAAGACCTCTTTGCCTGTTCTAGGAGTGAAAATATATTTGTTGCAATGCTTGAGGGACAGTTTGTTAGAGCTAGCTCTTAACCCCTTCCAGTTTTATTTAGAGAGCATCTTTTTGCAACTGTCTCTAATCCTGGCTTCCAGACACCTTCTCTCTCAAAAGAGCATAGCAGCCATACTGTCATACTCAGAGCTGGACATACTGTCTGCAGCACTGACCTGTCACAGAGACCCAAAGAGCATTAGGACAAGAAACTTCAAGAGGAGGGTCCAGTTTCTTTCCTTGGTTTCTTTATCTTTGTCATGGTTTCTCTGTTGCACAATAAAAAGGGAGTGTAATTACAACTTGGAGCATGTATGACATTAACAAATAAACTTAAGCCTTTTTTTCTGCTTGACCTCTTTTCTTTGTTTCTGATGTAATCTAATTCACATCATCCCTGTATCTACTCCAGAGTGTAAATTCCCCCAGGCAACAGTTGTCTCTCTCAAGTGCTGTGCCTACTTCTGATCTTTAAATTCCCCCAGGCAACAGTTGTCTCTCTCATTCTCTCAAGTGCTGTGCCTACTTCTGATCTGTTTAGTGTCAAAAGCTGTACCTTGGTTTTTATTTTATATTGTTTGCAGCTTAAAGAACAGTCGCTGTTCTTTGGTACTTCCTTGCTTTTTTATGTTTATTTTGAATGTTTTACCTGGGCACAAAACTATGATTGTTCAAATTTTACTTGACTTAGATATTTTAGGATTAGAGCTCTTCTTCTTGAAGGTGCACTTCAAGAACTTGAACAGGCAGTTATGGTGACCTGGCTGACAATACTCACAGAAGAGGGAATATGATTTACTCTTGGGGCCTTGGGTCACATTTTGTTCTAGTTGTTTGAGGAAGAAAAGAAAAACAAAAATCATCTTGGTGGTGGAATATAAATTAAAGAGAAATCCCATAGACACTCACTCAAGTGTTCTGTTACTTCTAACCAAGTCATGTGTAAAAAATGACCCAACAAGATGTGGTTTATCTTCTCTTTTACAGACTTACAACCAAAGCCAGTCTAACAAACGGAGCATCCACAAAGCTATCTCAGGGAGCAAAACATTGCATTTCTACCAGCATAGTCCACGTATGATTCCAGAGGGCATCACTCCAAAGTTGCATAAAATGTTTATTACTGCTGAAAAATATGAACCAAGCAATTCAAGAGCACTTTCTAAAGAGAGGAGACCTAGTTCCCTCCAGCACAAATCTGCTCTCTTTTCCTGTGTTGCCGGTAAGAGGATTATGGTGTTTTTCTGAGCACTGTGTAAGCTGCTATCTCATGTTGTTCTGTTGCAGCATATCACAATTGTGTGCTCACAGGAGTTTTGGGGCTCTAGCAAAAGTGTCATTGTTGTCAGCTGTAGTCTATGGACTGTGATACTGTGCTGACTGCTGCTGTGACTCCCCATCCTTTTCCTTTAACATCCTCACATCACAGATCTGTCCTTAAGTGTCTGTACTCCAAGTCAGCCATTTGTTTCCTCTTTCTCCATGGAGTCAGTGACTGAGTGTCAGGAACTCCAGCTACAAACAGAAGCAGCAAGTGTTAATGCTTTCTTCTTGGAGACTTCCAATATACCTATGTCAGGTGGCATCATTGTCATTTAAATGTTTAGTGATGATTCTGTACCATATCAGTTTTGAGCTTTAACAGTTAGGCTCAATGTTTTTATTAATACAAGCACCATATGTCTTACACCTTTGCAAATGGAAATAACAGAAATAAAGGATTTTGAGGAAAGGAAGAGGGGAAATCAAGGGTAGGATGTTTATGGATTTCACACATTCTTGGAGAAAAATGAATCTAAAAAGAGAAGTAGCTCTTTAGCTGATGCAGTTACATGGCACTGAAATGCTCAGCAAACTGAACAAATTATTAGGAAGAAAGAGCCAAGCTTTGTAAATACTTGGAAATTGTCCCTTGGTCTCTTTGGTTAAGTGCTTTCTGTAAAGACCAAGAGCAACTTCTTTAAGTAAGAAACTCCAAAAAGGCTTGGGAAGCTTCATATTTCAGTATCTAAGTAGTTAGACTTCAGAGTTAGTGATTTTTAAATGTATCTGATCACAACAATTTTTGTTATGAAAATCTACATCTGATCTCTTTCCAAACACCATCTGGGGCATAGAAAGGGGAAGCAAGCTACAAAATCATGCAGGCAAGTCATCAGCTTTCCCTTTGGCCTGCAAAGCAGCTCATGCTTTCACTCCTGTTGCAGGGCAGGAGGGCAATGAGGAAGGATTAGTGTCAATAAACCAATCTGTACGTGCCACCCTCAGCCCAAACTCCTTGTAAGTCTGCACGTGCTGCAGACACAGCCAGGGCACAGGTGGGATGATGTTCCTCATGTGTTCCCTTGTGCCCCTGGAGCCTCTGTAAGGTGTGCCCCTCTGGGCTTTGTGCACAGCCCAGCTGGACCAGGGAGGGAAGCCAAGGGTGGAATAAACAGGCACAACTTGCAAGAAAATCAGCAGAGCAAAGCGTGGGTTTAAAACAATAATTTTCAAATGTTTGTAAGTCTGTCCTATAGAACAGAAATGAGAGGCAGGTAGATGCACAAAGAGGATGCCATGCTGACCACGTTGCCTGCTGAGGCAATAGCCCTTCAGAGGCTGTAATTACCAGGCTCCCTTGGTGTGCAGTGGGCCAGGAGCTGCCATGGGTGCAGCACAGAGTGTGCACAGAGGCTTGGCCCTCCCCAGGGGTGAACAGGATTGGCTGCCTGTCTTGCAGACCAGGGTTACCTGAGTGCAGGGTATTGACACCAGCTTCGTGATGAGGTCCGTTGCCTGACTGCATAAAACAATGCCTGCTCCTGATTTTAATTGTATTCAGGTTAAATCTCAAAAAGAAGGGAAGGGAAGGTATTCGCTCTTTCTATTCTCTCCTTATTTCAGTGCCCCCTTCCTCATTTGCAAGTTGGAAGAGCCAGTGATGAATAAGCTGTAGGTGTTCCTCTGGATGCTCTCTTACTTCTTACTTGTTCTTCAGGTCCAGTTGAGCTTCAGGCTTGCCCATGGCAAACACATCTGCACAAAAGTTGAAGCATCATAGACAGAAGTGTTGTAGTATGTTCAAGCATTCTCCTTCTTTTCTAGTAAAAAATTAAATATTACCTGTTCTTCTTAATTTGATTCAGTTTCTAGAAATTTTACTCTCTCCTCCCACTTCAAAATCTCTTTCATAAATTTCCTCCATTTGTCAGCACCAGGACACATTATCCTTGTCTTGTCCCATCACTAATCAAGTGTATTCATCAGTTTTATGAGCTTTTCCTCAGAAAGTACAACAACAACAGCAAAATATCCCATTGCTAGGCAGTCCTTTTACATGGTTTCTTCCAGTTTCTTGGATTTGGGTTTTTTGTTTGTTTGATTTTATTTAATGAGTTTGCTAATATTGAGTAGCATATTAGTAAGTGCAATAAAATCAAAAAGCACTTAAGAAAGAATAAATTTGCACTTAAAATGGCTTGGACTCTTTGCAGGAAAAATCTCTGAACAGCTGTCTTTGGGGTCAGCTCGTGGGTTTTATGCTTATATGTTGTGGGTTTTTTTTCTTTATAAAATGAGAGTAACTGTCCCATGAGATAACTGAAAGGGTGAAATTGCTGAAAGATCTTGATAAGGATCTCTAATGTTATTATCTTTGCAAGTTCCCTGTCAACCTCCCCACTCTGTGGGAGGTATGAAGCCACTGTAGGCATGGCTAGAAAGAGGTGAACAGGTGCCCTTCCCACTCCCTGGTGTCTCTGGTAGCTGAATGCCCTTTGAACCTACCAGTAATTTCTCTTATTTTTCTGTTTACAATACGTTTGTTTAGATGAAATCTCCTTTTGTTAATTCTTCTTCTCCTGGTCCTTTACAATTGCTCTGTTCTCCCTTTTGAGATTGTGTCAATTTTTACTTGTCCGTAGCTGTGGTTTTTGTCTGACTTTACAACTTGACATTATTT